TATTTTGAGAATTTTCCATAATTGACAATTACTTATAGATATACACTGCCAATTTTCGCCCAAAATATATCCAAAAAGAACTATGAGGAGATAAAACCATAAAGGTTCGATATAAAATGTGTGGAAAGGTTAATATCTTTCGAAATATATTTTGCAACGTTTTCGCGGATTTTTCTCAAAATATTCTTTCATTAAAACCTTTCCACTTCAATTACAGACTACTAACAGAAACTTTAAGTCAAATCGGTCCAACCGTTTCTTTAAAATAATTTTTGCAAGATTTCCGCGGATTTTTCTCAAAATTTTCTTATATAAAAACCTTCCCACTGTAATTACCGACAACTGAAAGAAATTTTGAGTGAAATAGGTCCAGCCGTTCTCAATTGATGCGTTAGTATAAATTTTTCTTGCTCCATTTTTGATATATATATATATATATATATAGATTTGCAAAATCAGTTGTTTAAAGGGTACTCGAATATGAAATTTACACGTTGTATATATTTTTAGTTAATTTCAAAAGGCAAAGCTACTCCATTCCATAATCACTTTTCTTTTCAGTTATGTGTGTTTCTTTAATTTTTTCCATAGTATAATGAGGCATTAATTATTTGTTTTCTTATGCATTTTTAATATCGTTCTATCATTTTCTCTTGAAGTTATTATCCTTTCTTAAGCAGTTACGTAAAGAAGGAAATGTGGAAATTATGTTCATCGAATGTGTCTCATACTGCTCAGGTTGCAGCACCGCATCCTTTACTGATGCCTGAATATGGTGTCTATTTTGCACGTTTAACAGAGTCTTTAAGTGTCAGTTTTTTCAATTAATTGTTTGCATTTTTGCTTCTTGTACTGTTTTCGGGATACATATAGAAAGATTCACCACATATGCTTATTTATTTCGTTTGAATTCTTACAGGACAGAATTCGTAATGATGAATTCATAATCAAACCAGTAAGGAAAGTCGGACTGGGTCGACTATATGATACCCTTCACCACTTTATGTATATTGTTCTTATGTATCCTAACAATTTCGTGTCAATGTTCCCTCGAAGGAACATACTCCTTTGTGCAACCTATCGGGCAGATTAAGAATCCGTTGGGTAGAATGCACTATTGGTAACTTGGCCTGTTTTTGAGGTAAAAATGAATAACAGCGGTGTTAAACTATTTTTTTTTTTTGACTTTTTCAATGATTTATATGTACAAGAAAGAGAAAAGGCAGATTTCCACAGTAGAAACCGGATATAAGGAACATCGGTTATAAGCAACTACACATATAACGAACAAAGCTAATTCTTTCTCAGATATTTTCATTAGTTTTCTTATACACAGCAAACGATTGAAAACTATTAGGGTAGTAAGATAAAAAATTTTCGAGCTCTCGATTAGATTTTTAAAGAAATGATTATTACAATGTTGTATGTTTTGCAGAATGCATTAATAATGATTAATTCAGTACCCATTTATACTCCTTAAAGTTATAAATATGTAAAAGTGAGATAAAACCTCACTTACTACAGTCGAACACGATTATAGTAAACGCTGGATATACTGAACAACATTTTTTCATATGTCATTTTTTATTTTTCATCAATGCTGAAAAAAGTAATTTTTGGTGGTTTATATTCTAAGGGGAACCCAAGTCCGCCATTTCCTCTTCTCCACTTTTTAGATTTTTTTCTCATAATCTTACCATCAACAATCTATTTGCGGTTTACGAGTAATGTTATTTATTTTTTAATCAAAATTTGAGTGTATTCGTTTTTCCGCGGAAAAATTTCTATCTATCTTCCTATGACATTTGGTCCATTATGACAAAATAACCGAATTTCCTTTTTTTAATTTGACAGATTTTTCGTCCATATTGTTCTTATTGTTAACTTTACTTGCGGGGACTTGTAAACAACAATACGTTTCTTTGTTTTATTTCTTTCATCAAACCTAATATCGAAAATTTTATTTTTTTATTCTTAAGTTCCCTACATAAAACTGATATATCATGAAAAACGCAAAAAATCACAATTTGAGACCTATTGGAATCAATTTAAGGGTCGTACGATTTTATTCACCTGCGTACGATTTTATTCACCTCAAAAGTAAAATACATGTATTTCAATGAATATTACCCAAATACGCATTGCGTATAAAAATTTAAAGTTGGAAATTTTCAACTATGACAATGCGTATTTTGAATTTTTTTGTTTTTTGAAAGTAAACATTTTTCGGTTAATTAAGAAAATGTTTTCACCAATTTTCGCTGTTTTCAATTGACACACAAGTAAATAACGGCCTTCCGTATTTGGGTAATACGGACGTTCAACAAACCCTATAAAGGTGAAAAGGTGGATATTTTAGTACGCAACGCACTGAATTTAGGTACGGGCCTAAAATGCTTTCATTAATATATTTCAGCTGTCAAAAGATCCGACAAATTCAAACATTTCTGTAAAAGTCTATCTAGAATGACTTAGATATGTTTAAAAGCAAACGCATTTCTTTTATTATAGTCAACTATGCAAATTTTGAATCGCGGTGTCAACATTTTTGTTGACTTAATTTGAATCTATTATAATTCTAGAATTTATTGTGTCAGCATCAAGTGAGGGCAAGAGTGATTCTCAAACTTTAAACGCATTTTTCTCGAAGCTGTGTTTTACGAATGGCGGGCACGAGAACTCAAAAACTAATAATCCAATCGGTTCCAAATTTTGACACGTTTCTCTGGGAGTGTATAGCTCCCGTAAAGCCAATCGGTGAAGATCTTCCTTATTTTTTTAACTTAGTTTGGGTAAAAATTGTCGATTTTCCAAAAAAAACAAAAGTTCAAAGTTCCGCCTTTTTGTGAATTGTTGTGCGAAGTAAATAATCCTAGTTCATACGAGAGCCAGACATGTATTCTTTCTAATACCGTTGGAATTTTCGGATTCCGATGTTCCAGTGAGGAGTTATCATGCACGCCATCAAAAATAAGGACTTTTCTTTGATCACAAAAAACAAAAACAAAATTTTTTTGTACATTATTTCCTTCCTTTTTAAATCTTGAAATATATATGTGCAAAGTTACAAGCCTTAACAAGCATTGGTACTTATTTACCAGCCCAATATTTAAAATATTAAAAATAAATAAACAGCACACACCACCGCCAATACTCTCCATGTTTAATTTTTATGTTTATGCTTTGTATTTAATTGTTTCAAACTTTTTAAAATACACCTTAATTTCTTAATTTTTTTTTATTTCTTTAATTATATTTTCAAAGTTTAGAGTTTGGCTACGATTTTCACCGCTTTTGAGACACTTTTACGCAAAAGATCTTACAGAATTATAAATTTTGACTTGTATTCCTTTAAATGACATCAAAAAAGATATTTTTTTCCAAAATTGAAAAAATTACTCTTGCCTAAAAAACTGTCCGAATTACCTATAGTGCAATTGGACAATACCGCACTGTTAAAAATATAGTCTCAATCAGACACCCGTTCGAAATATATATGGTACGCTGCGCAAAATTCCCTGTCAATCCGACAAACATTAGGATTTTGGTGCATCATTTACCTAAAATCGAACAGAAATATATATGTGGGACCTATATCTAAATCTGAACCGATATTCTCGAAACTAAACTCACCTCATTCTAGACTCAATGCAGTACGTTATACCAAATTTCGTGCTAATCGAGATATATATATATATATATATGGACTTTGGTGCCTTTATCGGACGAAAATATATATGGGAGCTATATCTAGATCTGAACCGATTTTAACCAATTTCAATAGGGTTCGCCCTTGGGCCAAATAAGTGACTTGTGCCAAATTTCATCCAAATCGGATCATAAATGCGACCTTTACTTTGTTTACAATTTAATATCTACGGACGGACGGAGAAATCGACTCAGAAAGTGATTCTATGCATTTTCTCAAAAGTAACCACGTCTCTATCTCGTTTCCTTTTGCCTGTTACAAACATATGCACAAAGACATAATACCCTGTACCACAATGTGGTGAAGGGTATAAAAATATGGTTGGTTTAATTATCGAGGTTTGTTACAGGAGTTGACAGGTTTGAAACCAAAGCATGTGGCTGTGAAAGTTGTTTTCTTTATTTTAAACAAGTTTAAAAGTCTACGTCTATAATATATGTTTATGTACGGACTATAATATATGTAGTATACTTTTGACTTTATGCTATTTGGCATTAAGTCTATGGTTAGTATAAATATTAAGCTCTAACATGTTTAGATCACTCAGGATTTTTATATAATGTATGTGTTCCCCGATAATACCCAAACCTCTTAAGACTTTGCCGACAACAACATTGGTGCCATTCAGATTGTCACAGGCCATTGACGTAATAAAGAATTGAGAATTATTTGTATTTGGCTTTCCAAAATTGGCCATACTAACAACACCTTCATCAGAATGCTAAAATAAGGAAAAGTAATGTTGGCAACAAATAATTAGGAATCAGATTAATTTATTTATACACAAAAAACTCAAGTAAGAACAGTATTAAAATTGGATGGCAGACTATATGATACTCTTCTCCACCCTTCTCCAGATGCGTTTTTTTTTTTTTTTTTTTTTTTTGAGTGAAATGCTGAATTTAATTTCATTCGGCTTAATTTATAGTCGTTTGCGTACAATGGGACAAAATTATGTAAATCGAGTACGTTGTACAAAGTTTCGTATAGTTTGTACAAAAAATATAACTACAATTATATTATTTCATTAAAACCAAAACACAAATGATTAAATTTTGATATAAATATTCTATATTATTCTGGTAACAAAAAATTACATTTTAGCCATCAATGCCCCTTTTATTTGTACATTTTTTCACACTGATACACAAACACAAATAACAAACATATTAAAATATACATTTTTTAATATAAATATGCGGAACAATGCAATTTTAATTTTTTAAATAGACATACTTCTCTGCAGGATAAACGATAAATTGATTCCTGAGATGTTTGTAGATATTATGTACAATATTTTTACTACTTAAACAATTTCTTGAGGTGTACCATCTGTGAACGATTGTAATCCGCCATTAGTTGTTTGGCACGATTTAATTCAGATAATATTGTTTTGTTGTCTGGTATCATGTCATGTGCTTTTTTTAGATTTTCTATAGCCTCTTCGTAATTTTTCAATCCAATTTGTGCTTGTCCAAGACGATAATATGCTTTACCACAATTCGGATCTAAACGTAAAACTTCACGACAACAATAATGAGCATTTGTGTATTTATTTAATTTCAGTTCAACGGCAGCCATATTTAGCTGATTGATGGCAGAGAAGCTGTCTAATTTCTTAAGGTCTTCATCTGAACATTTGAGATGTTCCAGTTCTTGCCAATCATATCGTTTGCGTAATAGGTTATAATAGCGATTTGCCTTGCGATATTTCCTACGTGCATTGTAATATTCCTGTTTTGTAAAGAAATGATTACCGGCATTGCGAATTGATGTCAATAATTCCACTAGTTCGTCGGACTAAAATGCAAAATGGAATCAAACATTATGAATCAATTCGTAATTGAATGAATGCTACTTACCGAAAATTCCTTAAATTTATCATCCCAATCTTGTGGAAATGGCGGTAGGCATTCATTTGTTTCATCGCTGTCATTAATACCCCAGTTTTCACCAGGTTTTATTTCGCCGCAATTAGTTATGATGATGTCCTTAAAATATTACAAAAATCTTATAATAATCAAAAAGCACATTAGTTGCAACGTACTTACAATAGCTAACTTACCGTTGTAGGTACACCCTCATCGCTTGTATTTTGATCCATTTCCCCGATAATACCCAAACCTCTTAAGACTTTGCCGACAACAACATTGGTGCCATTCAGATTGTCACAGGCCATTGATGTAATAAAGAATTGAGAATTATTTGTATTTGGCTTTCCAAAATTGGCCATACTAACAACACCTTCATCAGAATGCTAAAATAAGGAAAAGTAATGTTGGCAACAAATAATTAGGAATCAGATTAATTTATTTATACACAAAAAAAAAACACAAGTAAGAACAGTATTAAAATTGGATGGCAGACTATATGATACTCTTCTCCACCCTTCTCCAGATGCGTTTTTTTTTTTTTTTTTTTTTTGAGTGAAGTGCTAAATTTAATTTCATTCGGCTTAATTTATAGTCGTTTGCGTACAATGGGACAAAATTATGTAAATCGAGTACGTTGTACAAAGTTTCGTATCAATCGTATCACCTAAAATCGGACTAAAATATATATGAACCGGTTTTAACAAAACATTACACAATTTAGGCTATAATGACATCAGTATGTTTTGCAAAATTTCTAGCCAATCGTCCTAACTTTGTCTTTGGTGCACCATTTACATATAAAACTGAACCGATTTCAACGTTTTGCAAAAAATTTAGACAATCGGCCTAAATTTACGTGTTTGGTGCACCATTTACTTAGGATAAGAGAAAAACATATATGGGAGCCATATCTAAGTCTGAACCGATTGATCCCAATTTCAATAGGGTTTGTCCTTGGGTCACATAAGTGAGCTGTGCCAAATTTAATACAATTCGGACTATAAATGCGACCAGTAGTTTGTTTATAATTTAACACGTACAGACAGACGGACGGACGGACATACATAAGTCAACCCAGAAAGTGATTCTATGCATATTCTCAAGAGGAATCATGTGTCTATCTCGTTTCCTTTTGACTGTTAAATGCACAATGATAAAATACCCTGTACAACAGGGTAGTGGAGGGTATTATCATCAAGCTATCGTTTTAGCAATAATTTACAAAAAATCAGCTTTTTCGGATTAAATGTATTTGACAAGTACCTCCCAGAAATGTTTTGGAAGATTAAAAAAGCATAAAGAAGAAGCAATACTTCCTAAGATAAACGAAACACATTTTAAAGAAAACCACTCGGAAACTAAATTTTACCACAGGTAGCCTTTTCATTATTACTTTTCCGGAGAACAATTCCAGCGGATTTTTTAAAATAAATGCAAATTTCAAAATTGTTTTCTGAGAGGTGAACGTAAATTAGATTTGTTCAGTCTTTTATGTACAAAAGTACAGATTTTTTTGGATTTTTCCAATACTCACATCCAATATGAAATTTTCATCTTCAAAAACAGGTCCATAAATACTTTCACCACCGGTTCCATCATTGTTGATCACATCACCACTTTGTGCCACATACACTCGTGTCACCTTATGAAACCGTATACCTTTATAATGCAATGGTTTATCCATTGTTCCAATGCCCTTTTCCCCCGTACAAAGGGCTCGAAAATTCTCTGCTGTTTTAGGCACCACATCTTTGCGTAGTTCAATAATCATGCGACCAGCTAAAAATATACATAAAATAGTTATTATTCGACTTTTTTATTCTGGCAATTGGACATTAAAACTCACCGAACTCCTCGCCGATATTAATATCTAGAAAAACAATAGGATTGTTTTTATCGAATGGCTGCGGTATGGCCTTATTCATAGTTGCACGAAAATTGATTTTATTTAGGTCCAATATGAGAGTTTGGCACACCAAGGAGTTACTCTAACTCACACAATCTGAGCCGAAGTCAAGTTGATGACAATGACATGCGAATGTTTTCGAATAGAAAAAATGGCTAATAAATCCTCGGATTAAAGAAGACGGTTTGTGACGAATAGCCGACGAAACAATTGTAATTTGTTTAGAATAAGGTGAAAACAAATTAAAATATCAGCTGTTATTTTGCGCTTGCCAGCCAATTCAATTGAAAAATGTGTCATAAATACTCAAAATAACCAAAATTGTATAAATAAAAATAAAAAATGGATCAACTTCGTATTTTTTTCAAAGCTTTAGATTCAATTGAAACTGTAATTGTAATTTTTCCAAGAAGTTTTTGGTATTTTTCTGTAAAATTTAGTGATAAAAGTGGATATTGGCTGGGTCAAAACATATGCAACTTTGACGAATTAAAAAAAAATATATATAAGAATTCTTGAATGTTGAGAAGTACTTTTAATACATATTCAATAAAAAAATATTATATAAAAAAATATTATATACGGTTAACAATAACTAAATAGAAATGTCAAGCGATAAATTCGGTTTGGGTTAGCAAACACTTTAATAAAAATTCACGAACAAAATTGTGGAATATTGAGGGAAAATAAACGTAGTGGAAATAGAACTAAGTTTTTGATTTTTATTTAATTTTCGAATATTGATTTAAAACTTCTAGAAATGTTATATTTCCTTGGGCAACAATAAAGGTTTCATTTAATTTGGAAAGTGTTTCATTCCAATTGTAAAAAGTTTCATTTAATTTATAAACATTTTCATTCCATTTGTAGAAGATTTCATTCCAATTGGAAAAGTTTTCGTTTAATTTGGAAACAAGTTTCATTTAAT